TGCTTTTTTTTTTCCAGATTTCCTTGAAGTAGCCCCCCTGACCAGCGTTTCTGGGATGAGACACTGGAACTTGCTGCATCCACGTCAGGAGTTAGCCACCTGTGAAGGGAAGAGAAAGTGTCCTCTCTGTGCCATCACCACTGGCCAGGCGTCAGCAATCAGCATGAGCATCTGAGCATCCGCCTGCCTAGAGATAGTTCGGCCTGGACATCTGAAGCGCGTTAGCTGCCTGCTCCCCAGGGGCTGACCTGCTTGTTGAGAATTATCCCAGGCAGAGCCACAGAGGATGGAGCAAACAAAGACCAGGTGAGGTGTGGCCACGAAAGTGGGGGAGCACAGTCTCCGGAGCCGTCTCTAGGGACCCCGGGAGAGCAGAGGAGGATGGGGGAAAGAATGGGGCCTGGCCAGCTCCAGCCCAGCCGTGGCTCCCTGGCTATGCAAACTGCAGCTGGAGCTGGAGGATGGGAGGGGGTCTCTTTCCCTCTTTGGGCCTCAGTCTCCCTGTGTGCATTTTGGAGGAAGAGCAAGCAAAGCATACCCTGAGGACCTCCTAGCCCTGACCTACAGTTGTAGGGCCCCACCTCACCTGGAATTCCCTGCCTCTGAGGTTCAGCCCATTGCTGGGCCGAAGTGAGTGATAGGTGGTGGGAGATAACTCAGGGATGGAGAGTTCTGATCCCCTTTCACGCCTGGACATCAGCGGAGAGCTGAGAGGTGGCGACAGGAAAGTGATACCAAATTTCAGAACAGTCAGCAAGGTGCCCTCCCGGTGACCATAGGCGGCAGAGACAGTGTCCCTCCCAGAGACCGGGGCTCCGGCTGTGCCGATGGCTGGGGTCAAGGCGCTCTTCCCTTTCTGGACCCACCACTCACCCTGCTGTCCAGACAGGCCACAGCTAACTTGCACTTAGCAATTTTTATTGACTCCTTATTCTATGGCAGGCTCTGTTCTAAACACTCTACTTGTATTTCACTGGGTGGCAGGGCCTGGGTGATTGACCAGCCTACAGTCTGGCCCTCACCTGGCTGGCTCTGACATTGGTCTTGCTCAAGACACCCACAGGGGTCAGACAGGCTGGCCTTAATCATGTCACTCATGATCGATGCTCCTCCCAGCACTGTTGTAACCAACACCAGACAATCTCCCTTTCCATTGACAGAAGTGCTCTTGTTCCACCATACCCCCACCCCCCCTTCTCTCCAGGGAGCTGGGTCTCTGGGAAGCTGTTGCCTGGTGGGCCTGGAATCTGAGCAAAGGGGTGAGGAGAGCTAGTGCAGAGGGTGGTTTCCACAGACCTTTGTGAAGCCCGATTAACCATCTCCACTCTGAGCAGAGAGGCCCTCTGTGGGGACTGGGATGGGCATGTCCCTCAGGCAACAATTCTTACCTTCTGGACAGTGTTGGGCATGCACACGGCCATGTAGGCTTCTCTGAACCTTGGCTTTTCTCGGACGCCTCACTCCTGGGTTGTAGCGTCTTTCTTTGGATGGTTAAAGTCTCTGACGACCAGGCTGGAGAGCTGTGTCCTGAGCCAGGGAGCCTTTTGATTCATACACTTCTCACAGGGCAACCTTATTACTGGCATTTCTAAGAAGGGCCCAGAGACCGATGAGGGTTCGACCACATTCAAACAGCCAGTCAGGACCGAGATAACCTGGATTCCCAAGCAAGTCCCAATTAAATAGTTTATCACTTTCAAATATGAAAAACGAGTTACATAACTGCGGAACAACTAGAAAATAGAGAGACGCAAAAGCAAAAATAAATATACCTTGGTTTTGTTTCTCAGAGAAACTTCCACTGCCCTTCCCCACCCCATTCTTCCCCGGGGCCCCAGCCATAATCAATACCTTCCCTCCTGTTGCCAACAGCTGTTCCCCGAGGAATAAGCCTTGACAGCAGATCCTGGAAGGCAGCCTCAGACCGGATTCTGGAAAGGCCTGGCTTCTCTTGAGGAACAGGGGGGCTTCCGCTCAAAAGAAGCTGTTTAAATGCAGGATATGGTAGGAAAGTCTACTGGCCAGGAGTCTGGAGCACACAGCCAGCCCCATCTGGCCTGTGGATTGACTGTGTGACCTTAGGCCAGTCCCTCCCCTCACAGTTTCTTCCGCTGTGAAATGAGGACTTGGACTTGACCCGGTGGTTTCCCCACAGCCTGTGTCAGTCTGGTGGCTTCTCTTGGGCAAGGACAATGCCTTCTCCCCTTCAGTGGGCCATGGAACTTAGAATCAGAGGGTAGGGTGCAAGCTCCTGCAGACCACTCCCTGCCTGGGCGACCCTGGGAAGGGCGCCACACCACTCTGCACGCTGTCCACCACGGGAAGACACAGGTAAGGGACCTGGCCCGCTGAGTGTCCCAGGGCTGCCGTGGGTCCCACGGGTGGTGGACCTTTCAGCCTCTGGATGACAGAGCGGGGCATTCTACAGGCTATCACCTGCGGGTGCTCCCTGCCTGCCCAGTGCCTAGCTTTACCTGACTCGGGGTCGGGCCCAGGCTTGTTGATGGAGCCACTGCCTGCCCAGGGGCTCCCCTAGCCTGGCAAGTGTGCGGACCCTGGGCATGGAATGTGGAAACTGCTGAATTACTGCAGGAAGGAGTAGAGGCTGGGCTCACAGGCTGACTCTGCTTTCTGGGCTCCTAAAAACAATGGCAAACCCAGGGCCATCTGGCCCCCGCTTCCTTATGCCCATCTCAACCTACTCCAGGCTCCCCTGGCAGGTCTGGGGGTGGGGGTGGGAGGTTGTGGGGTGGCAATAATGACCTTCTTCCGGTTCCCAGATGACCTCTCTGGACCCCGCTTACCATCTGTTGTGTCCCCCCAAATTTTATATGTTGAAGCCCTACTTTCCATGGTGGTGGCATTTGGGGGTATTAGGCTTAGGTGGGTCATGAGGGTGGGGCCGCCACAAAGAGATCAGTGTAGTAATCTGCCTCTCTCTGGGAACACACAAAGAGGTCATTCGAGCACACAGTGAGATGACAGTGTCTGCAAGCTGGCTAAAGGGCTCTCACCAAGAACTGACCTGCCAGTACCTTGATCTTGGACTTCTCAGCCTGCAGAACTGTGAGAAATAAGTGCCATCAGTCTATGGTATTTTGTCATAGCAGCCTGAGTGGACTAAGACACATGTATGAAACAGGCATAAAAACCCCTTCCCTGACTATTGCTGATTAGAATAAAATGCAGTAATAGCTACCCATTCATTCAGTCATGCATTCACTCAACCAAAGCAGACAGAACTCCTTGCCCTTGAGGAGCTAACATTCTACTAGTTGGGGAGACAGTAACCAAAGAAGCAAAGGATACAGAATATCCCGTGGATGATGGTAAGTGTATGGAGGAAAAGTCCACCGGGAAGGAGGACTGAGTGCCAGCAGGGAGGGGCCTGTTCCAACTTTTTTTAAAAAAAATATCCTCACCCTAGGATTTTTTTTCCATTGATTTTTTTTTTAGAGAGAGAATGGAAGGGAGGGAAGAGGGGGGAAAGCATTATTCTGCATCACTAACCGGTTAAAAATTAATCCGCATTATTAACCGGTTAAAACTTAATCTGCATTACTAACCGGTTAATAATTAATACACACGGATTAATTTTTAACCAGTTAATAATTTGAATTAATTATTAACCAGTTAGTAATGCGGATCACTTGTTAGCTGGTTAATGATGCGGATTAACTATTAACCGGTTAGTAATGTGGATTAATTATTACTTTTTAACCGGTTAGTAATGCGGATTTTGTAATCGAAGGAAACACGATAATGTCAAGAGAAAAATCAAAAGTGCTTTATTCAACATAATGTCCATCGCTAGCTACACATTTCCCCCATCTTTCAGGGAATTTGTGGATACCGTCCCAATAGAACTTTTCCTGTTTTGAGGTAAACTATTCAGAGACCCAATTTTCCACTTCTTCGAACGTTTTGAAGTGCTGCTCAGAAAGTGCGTGTGCCATCGATTGGAACAAGTGGTAATCTGAAGGAGCAAGGTCTGGTGAATACGGCAGGTGGGTTAATACTTCCCAGGGAAGATCTTTTAACGTGTCTTTAACTGGTTTTGAAGTGTGTGATGGTGCCTATTCTGGTCGTTTTACAATCAAAGCGTGGTTCAAATTGATTATTTGTTGTCAGTAGCGATCAGTATTAACGGGTTCACCTGGCGTTAGAAGCTCATAATACACCACACCTTCCTGATCCCACCAAACGCAGAGCATTGTCTTCTTTCCGAAGCCTCCCTAAGAAGGGCCTTTGGGGGGTGCTGATGGTGGTGAGAGGCATCCCCAGCGATGAAAGGACACTGGCTATGGTAGGAAGTGGGGTATATGTCGGGAATGATTTTCCTGTGTGTCTCCTGTGCCTCAAAACCCCTCAGCGCCGTCTGGGCAAGGGAAGGCTCTGAACAGTTAAGATGGGACAGCCTCGTCTTACCTGTTAGGCTCCATTTAACAGGTCTTTGCTGAATGGCTTGCTCCTGTCAGGCACCAGAGAGCCTGAGGGTGCCGGAGAGAGAGCTCAGACTCGCTGCCCGACTGAGAAGAGTGGGTGTCGGGAGGCCTGAGCTCAAGTCCTGGCCCTGCCACCGGCTGACAGTGTGGCATTAGATGAGGCATTGTCTTCTCTGGGCCTCAGTTTCCCTGTCTTTAAAATAAGATGGCCAGCCCTGGCCAGGGAGATCAGTTGGTTAGAGCATTGTCCTGATACACCAAGATTGTGGGCTTGATCTCCAGTCGGGGCACATCAAGAAGCAACCAATGAATTCATAAATAAGTGGAACAACAAATTAATGTTTCTCTCTCTCTCTCTCTCTCCCTCTCTCTCCCTCTCTCTCTCTCTCTCTCTGAAATCAGTCAATCAATCAAATAGTCAGTGGTTGCTAGGAGTTGAGAGGAGATAAGGTGGCATGATTGCTATTGGGTATGGGGTTTCTTTTGGAGGTGATGAAAATGTTCTGGAAATAGATAGTAGTGATAGCAGCACAATTTTGTGAAATACTAAAATTCACTGAATGGTACACTTAAACAATGTTATTTAAAAAGTGGTTGGTTAGATAAGATTACCTCTAAAAGAAGGAACACTAATTTTTTTTTGTGTGTGTGTGCCTACAATACCCAGGGCCTGGACTCAGCATTAATATTTTATCTCATAATCTCCCAGGCTCCTACCAGTTCCTCTGTGACCCACCACAATGATATTCACATTGCGATCACTCATCAGTAAGTCCAACTTGAGCCTTCCTGCAGGCCCACCGCTAGCACAGAGACTGTCCCAGGAGCTGGGGTGTAGCAGTGAGCGAAGCTGACTAGCACAGAGACTGGGGAAGAGACGGGAAGGGAAGGCCTCTCCCTGCAGGAGCTCCGAGCCTGTGGGAGAAATCAGAAGTGCACGCTGTACCCACGAGGTTATTTTCTTCAAGACCAGCTCCTTCCATTCCTTGTAAAGGAAAGAACAACAACAACAACAAAATACAAGGGTGGCCCACAACTGTGGGGCCCTGCAGGGGGCTCCTGGCGTTGATGGATTCATTTATGCACGGGGGCCCTTGGCTGGGTGTTCAGGATTCCATAGTGGGCAAGTCAGACCCAGCCCTCCCCTTAGGAAGAAAGACAGACGTTAGAGAATCAAACACACCATGAAGAATTCATTTTCATCATCGTGATTGTGATCCGTGCAGAGGAGGAAAAGCACACAATGTAATGAACGGCTTAACAAGAATGAAGAACGCTGGCGAGGCTTGAGGGTGAGTAGGAACAAGGAAGGGGTGTGGAGAGGTGTTGGTGATGGCCTTACCCATCTGAGAGGAGGCCAGTATGGGTGAAGCACAGAGAGTGACGGGGCAGCCACAGCAGAAACAGGACGGGCTGACCATGCAAGGCCTTCAAGGCTGGGGGCCGTACATACCACGTATGCCCGTTGTCCCTGCTCTCTCTCTAGTGTCCCAGTTTGGACACAGCCACCCTACTTACAGGCCACATTAAGGGGTCTGTTCCAAGGAGAGCTGGTATTCCAGGAAGGCCTGACCATCACCCTCCCTGCACGCCCAGGAGCAAGGCCTGCCAGCCTGGGCGAGCCCCGTGGTTACTGAGCTGGATGATGTGTGAAGAGCCTTGCGTGGCAGCCCCCGGCCAAACAGGTCTGCCCTTCTCCTCCCAGGCAGACCCTGCTGCCCCCTTGCTGGCTTCCCCCTCTTCAGTATCTCGAGGTGAGAGCTTTTCCACTAGGTCTCAGGCCAAGCATGGTTCTTGGCTCCAGGTCTGATGAGCCAGTCTCCGGCCGTCCCCACCCTCGGCCACTCCCTAAGGACCGGCTCCAGGACTCAGCTGTGGCCTCACGCTCTTTCCACTCTTGCTTTTTTATTTTTGCCTCGTTATTTCCCTCCCTGTGTGACTCCCTCCCTCTGCTGGGCTTCTCTCTCTCTTGCCCTCCTTCTCTTTTGCTTTCCTCTCTCCAGGGTGACTTGGCATTTGTAGGAAATCATGTGCTGTAGGACGGATGGAATGGGTTCCAATTGTAGCTCTGTCACCTGCTGGCTGTGTGATCACCGGCAGGTAGATCCTCCTCTCGGAGCTAATTTTGGGTTCGATGAAATGGGCTGATCCGCCTTCCTCCTGCTTCTCCGGGAGGCTGTGAGCTGAGCTGAAATCCATCAAGGAGCTGCTCAGCAAATGGTAGCTTCGTCTCCCGTTCCTTTTGCACTTTCTTGGCCCTGACCTTCTGCATGTTTTGCTCACTTGACCACAAAGCCAGAAACAAAAGCCCTCCCACTGGACCCCAACCACCTAGCTCTCTGGGCTCAGCCCACCACACCCAGACTTGAGTGAAGCCAACGGCATCAGGACTGCGTGCAGCCTGCTCACTGCTAGCCCTGTGGCTGAAAGTCATGGCTGGGCTTTTCTGCCCTGGGACCCCCCAGGGGACGTGGGATTTATCTTCTGAGCTGTGCTGTGACGGAGGCACCGGAGTCTTTTGTGTGTATCTCACCAACTGAAGGACGAGTGAGGCAGCCTTTCAACATTGCCCCCGGCCTACAGACTTCTCCTTGTCCCCCACACCACACCCTGCACTTTCTAGCCCCTGAGCCATTGGTTATGTCCCTTACTCGACCTGGAACACCTCCTGTTCCCTTTCTCTCATTTTGGGCCTTACACCTTCTCTGGGGCTTAGATGTGACAGCGGAGGAAGCTAAAGTAAACATCATTACATAAAAGGGTACGGTCTTTTTTTTTTTTAGTTTTATTCATTTCAAAACGGCCGTAGTTTGCCCACGGCTGTTCTAGCCCCTGGGCCATTGCTTATGCCCCTTACCCGACCTGGAACACCTCCTGTTCCCTTTCTCTCATTTTGGGCCTTACACCTTCTCTGGGGCTTAGATGTGACAGTGGAGGAAGCTGAGCTGATTACCCTCCTAGAAGGTACTGGGCTCTGTGACTAGAGCCTCAACAGAACCTCAGAAAGTGGGGGCGATAGAAGGGGAAGATGCTTTTGCCATCAGAAGGGGGAGGGAAACTGAGCAGGCCAAACTCGGCCTTCCCCTCCCCGAGGGGCTGCGGAGGATCTAAGACCAGGGAAGAGATGCAGAGTGACCGGGGATGCGAGTCCCAGCTTCTCACTTTCTGGCTGTGCGCAGGTGGACCGCCCCCTCCCCCAGGGGCTGTGGAGGATCTAAGAGCCAGGGAAGAGATGCAGAATGACCGGGGATGCCAGTCCAAGCTTCTCACTTTCTGGCTGTGCGCAGGTGGACCGCCCCCCAAGCCTCTGCCTCTGGGTGGTAGAGTGAGAGCAGTAACTCCCAGTTCATAGCGTTGTCAATATTTGAGATTGGGAGCATAGCGTGCTAGCCCAGAGCCTGGTACACGGTGGAGTCTGTACTAAGGGTGGTTATTATCATTGCTGTTGGTGCTTTGGGTGGGTTGATGTTCGGATCAGGAGCTAGGGATTCTGGGAAAATGCTTCAGACAGTGGGGGCTTCCCAAAGCCTAGATCCCTGGCCCAGAGCCGAGGGGGTGGCAGTGAGAGGGGCCACTCCTCCCGGGTGAGGATTGTGTAAGTTGTCATGTCTGTGGGGCATGACTCAGGGTCAGCCCAGCAACACCCCAAACTGCTGGTGACTTTGGCCTGGTGACCTGCCCTTTCTGAGTTCAGTGATGACTGCTCAGTGCTCCTCCTCTAAAGCTCTATGAACTCAAGAAGTGTCACCTCCCAAAGCAGCCTCACGCCCATTTTATAAAAGGGTCAAGCAGCCTTCGCTGCAGGGTTGAGCTCTGCTCCTTGTATGACTCTGTGCTGGGCACAGGACTCACAGACGACCTTGACCTGGCCCTGTGCTCAAGGTGTCTGCAGCCTGCTGGGTGCATAGACATGGGCGGTCACCTGAATGAGGAAAGCTCAGTCACTGATCCCCAGTGTGACTTTGGACAAGTCACCACCCAGCTCCGGAGCTCCCTTTGCCCATGTGTAAGGGAAGGAGTTAACCACGAGGATGATAGCCCGTAGCCAGGCCCACACAGCCCATCTGGTCCCAACAAGGTGGCTGGGTAGCCCATCCCCCATACCTCCGCCTCAGAGCCCACTGACATCATCCCCAACCCTCTCTGTTTCCCCGGCAACCGGGGTGCTGGTCGAGGCTCCCCAGGGGTCCAGACCGTCTGGATTTCCTTACACATAACTGTACCTCGTCCACATTTTCACAATTAAATTGTCAGTTTGGGTTAAGTGTTGTCTGCTGATGCCTGTCAACCTCTCTCTGGCTCCCCTCACTCTTTACCCAGAGAACGACTTGCCCAGTCCCTCGGTGCTGTGGAAAGAGGCGAGGATGCGAGCAGGAGGCAGGAGGTCTGGGTTCCAGCCCAGCTGTGCCACACATCTGCTGT